AGATTATAGAGAACTGAACATGTAGACACATACACGGCTCATGGTGATGTGTGTGCACAAAAATTGAGAGAATGGAGGAGAAAGCGGTCCAATGTCTTTGTGATTGACCTTCGAAAGGCCTACTTGGAGGTACACATGCACCGGTCACTGCGGCCATTTCAGACGGTGATCCTTAATGGGAGGAGATACTGCTTAACCCGAATGGGATACGGACTCAATGTGGCGCCGGCTATCATGAAAGACATCGTGGATGATGCGCTATCCCAGGATGAGACAATTCGTCAAGCGACGTCAGCTTACATTGACGACATCTACATCAACGAAATCTTAGTACCCGCTGCACAGGTGAGAAAGCATCTTGCTGACTTTGCGTCCCGAATTAGACGCCGTTATCAGGGGAGTAACCACGGCCCTTCAATGGAATGCAAAGGTGTCGCATTTATTCACGGATTCCGCATGCGTGTATAAATGGATAGCAGACACTCTTACGGGGAAGGCCAAGATACGTACAAAAGCTGCGAGCGAGATGCTCATTCGAAGGCGGCTAGACACACTGGGAAAGTTGGTAAGTGAATACCACTTATCCGTAGATATCCGTAGATATACAGCTGGTCAGATCACATCATAACAAGGCCGATACTTTAGCAAGGGTACTCAAAAAAGTGGCTTGACTCTATTAAGAAAGAGGTAGAGCCGGTAGGACATGTCTGTGCAACATCAGCGAGCAACCGTAACTCAGATTTACTAAAATCTGTGCATTGCCATAGCAGACATCCCGGTGTAAAACGGACCCTATATTTCTTGAGACAGATTTATCCCTCCGTATCCAAAGCTGCTGTTAGGACAGTGGTCAGGGAATGCAAGGAGAGCCAGTCCATCGATCCAGCACCTGTGCAATGGCCAAAAAGACAAGTGAGGTTGAGCAAAGTGAGGCATCGTGTTGGAATGGACATCACCCATTATAACGGACATCACTATTTAACCCTGATTGACTGTGGCCCAACCCGGTTCACTATTTGGCGGCGTCTGCGTCGACAGGATTCCGCAAGCGTCATTGACCACTTGGGGTCATTGTTCTTTGAACGTGGACCTCCGACGGAACTCCTCACTGACAACGACACTGCATTACGCAGTGGATTATTCAAAGATTTTTGGGATTCGTGGGGAGTACACCTCAAATTTCGCTGCGCGTATGACCCATCAGGAAATGGCATAATCGAGCGATTTCATCGGAGTATCAAATCATCGCTGCTAGGAAGCAGTGTTCCATAATGGAGGCGGTGTATTGGTACAACGTTACTCCGAGAGACAATAATGTATCACCCTCAACTGCGCCAGCCAATATGATTTATCGGTACAAAGTCTTGCTGGTGTTCCCAGGTTCACCCAGACCCAGGGTGGTAGCAAAGTCCGGCTACGAGGCATTGACGCGACGCGTTCACCTGAACGGACAAAAGAACGTGCGCCGTATGACTTGGGCGATCGCGTGTGGGTAAAAGCTCCACATAGCCGGTGTACAACTCGGTACCGGGTGGGACATGTCACTGGACTAAGTAACTCGCGCTCTGTGCAGGTTGATGGCATACCAAGACACATAAAGGACTTGCGTCACTATGTAGGTACAGATACGTCAACAAGTGACACTAGCAGTGAGTGCTCAGAAAGTGAACAAATAATTACCATCGGAGGTAGGGCTAGCACCTCTTCAGATGGCGAAGACTCTGTGCGTGAGGTTGTCAGACCAGAAGAATCCTCAGAAGAAGAATATTCAGAACATTCTTCAGATGAGGAAGACTCTGTGCATGAGGTTGTCAGATCAGAAGAATCCACAGAACATAACACACAATCTCCTCCAACAGTCGCCCCGCTCCGGAGAAGCTTAAGAATAAAGAGGCCAGCCCATGAGTGTCACTTATGTGACAGTGGGGAGTGTAGTGAAAGAGATAATCAGTTACCCCGAAAAAAGTTCGTGCTTTGTGTGCGATCTGCCGAAGAAAAATTACCAAAAATTAGTCAGCAAAAATCTTCATCAATGACTAGAAACTATGCTAATGTTTCTACCTCCCCTGAATGGCGTGACCAATCAGAAAATTCCCTCGGTGAACATAAGTCGTTGTTTTTCGCTTATAAAAAGACATGATTTTTTTGAGCTTGGGGGAACGAACACGCGTTGTTATTGGTGAGAAGTGAAGGTTGAATGTGCGACCCCATTTTGTCATTTCTACGTTGTGTGTTGGACTGTTACGTCAGACTATCATTTGAACTGCGATTTGGCTACAAGCGTTGCGGCCGAGAAACAGAAGAAATCTATTGCAGTTGCTACTATCAGTTGACAGTCTTTTGTTTACTACTACAACATCCTATCGGCGACGCCATAGTGGGCACCAAGAACAGCTTATACACCGTTACGTCTTCATTCTTGTTTAGTTTTCTGTCGTTGTTCCTCAGCACCTTTCTTCACGTTGGAAGGAATGACTGCTGAAAACATCCCCTTATTCAAATTTATAGACAAATCTGACAGATGGATGCTGGGATTTTTATCCATACCAAAATGGCAATACAGAAAGATCTAGGCGATCCCTATTGGAAACACAAAGCGGTATATTAAATAAATCGAAACTATTCTTATGGACTTACGCTATTATGACAGCCGCCTACATGAAAGATAATTGGTATAGTCAATGAACTGGAAAGCAATGTATTCGAAATGTTTAAGGATCGCAAACTTAACCTCGGTAATATGCATAGTTTTTGCATAATTTGTTTTGCCTATATATAGAAGGTGGAAATTCAATGGACACTAAAAATCAATTTTCATGGACTACGATAAAACGAGACCTCTCTACCTAATATATTCTTCAGAAACTAAAAACGTCAAATGATTAATGAGTGTTAAATGTCCATCCTCACTTCCAGCTAAAGAAAATGCAATCTTACTTCGCAACAATTTGGATAGAAATCCCTGGTGGATGTTGGGGTGTTGGGGATAGACGTAAAGAGAAATGTGTCGGATGAGACCGAGAAGTGGTTCATTTTTATTGGTTAAGAAGAAATCCCAGCATGCATCTGTAAGACATGTCTATAAATTTGTGTCAGTTCATTACCCCATCCTTCATTCAACAGATTTATGAAAATCAATCTTGTCATTCATCCGCAGGAAAGATAAGTCCTGGGTAAGACAATAAACTACATCCAGCAGCAAATCCTCTGATCAGGAGGTTTTGAGTAGCGTGGAATCCCGTCTTAATTGCTGGTGTTCCCAGGTTCACCCAGACCCAGGGTGGTAGCACCTGTTAGGGGTCCCAGCTATGGGCAAATAGTTAACACCCACACTTGTGTAAAGATAGGTTTTATTACCAGAAATAGTTTGTAATAAAAAAAATTATTGCCAGCAATGATTTTTGAAGGAAAAATTATTATCAGCAATACTTTTAAAAAATACCTGAAATACAAACAGCTATACATTCTTTGGGAAAAATATGACCAGCTATAGATTTCTTCAAGAAAAAAATATTCCCAGAAATAGATTTTTGAAGAAAAACAATTACCAGCAATAAAGATTTTGTCAGCATTAAATAACCCATTGAGGTGTTAATATGCCGTAAAAAAACAAAAAACAAACCAAACCCAACCACCAATGATAATGTATTGCTTTTTCGTCATAATGAGTCTTTAATTGACAAAGAAACTGATAATGAAATGAAAGGTAAGAATGATTTCGATGTGCCCCACTTGGGATAATCCTCAAATCTATGTTGATTATGGATTCTAATATCTAATTCTAATTAAGCTGAGCAGGATTTCTTTGGTATCAAAGCAAAGCATACTGATCTGTTACGTGACATCTGTTCTTCTTTACGGCAGCGAATGTTGGAGGATTTCCTCAAGGATAAGAAGAATCTAGAGGCGACAGAGATGTCGCCTTACAGAAGAATGCTAAGGATATCATGGACCGAGCATGTGAGAAACGATGAGGCCTGAGATGGGTTACAAACAAGGATAAGGCTTATGCTTAACATCAGAAAGAGACAGCTGAAGTTTCTGGGAAACATAGTGAGGGAGGAGGGCATGGAAAACTTGATACTCACGGGTCGAATAACGGGAAAGATAGACAAGGGAAAGCAGCGTTTGGCATAACTAACGAGCTTGAGCAAGTGGGTGACAGAACGTGGCCTGTGGGAGGAAGAATATTGAAGGAAATTTCTGAGAGCTGCAAGCGATAGCTGGAGGTGGAGAGTAATGGTCGCCTACGTCCTGATAGGACATGCCAGATAAAAAGAAAAGAAGACATGGTGAATTGTCCAAAAGATCAGTCTTCCTTAGAATGAATATAGAAGAATTTTAAAAATGGAAACATGTAAATGTGATTTAAAAATGAAAAGAGAATATACTTTACTCAAATGATGTGTATAGCTGATGCAAAGAAATGGATGATCTATGAGTTACAAACTAATTTCATTCTCCCTGGTTAATTTTTCTTTTCCCTTTTATTGATGAATCTTAGTGTAAGGGATTTTATTTTGCGATCGTGTTAGTGATAAGAAGACACGGAGTAATGGATAACGAGTCGAGGAAACAGAGAGCCGAGTTCGAAATCCAGTCAGATCCATTACATTAACTTACGTGCTAATACCCTTGGGAAAGGTATGATTCCTCTTCTCCCCCACATAGCTATAGGTAAATAGCAGCACAGACCGAGTTCTATAGGCTTGGATGGCAACTGGGATACCGCAGATAGAAATGGCAATCTACTGCGGGAAAAATATGTCTTGTCAGGCATGTATCGAAAGATACATGATCCCCTAAGCGTGTATCACGCATGTCACATAACTGACTGACTGATGGTGATAGGGGTCTGTGGAGTATTGAGTGTAATGCAACTTAAGCAATAACGTAAAGAAAGAATTGGAAAAAAGAGAAAGACAATTTGAAGAAAGATATTTTGAAGTGTAGAAGAAAAAAGACAAGAAGAAGGAAAATGAAAGACAAACTGAAAACAGTTATTTTGAAGTAAAGAAGAAGGAAGTTGAAAAAAAATTAGAGGTAGGTATTTTGAAATGAAGAAGAAGAAAGAGAAGAAGAAGACGACGGAAGAGGTAAGACAAATTGAGGGTCGATATTATGAAGTGAAGAAAAAGAAGAAAGAGAAGAAGCAGAAGAAGAATAATGATGAAAGACAAATTGAAGGTAAATATTTTGAAGTAAAGAAGAAGGAATTTGCAAGAAAAATTAAAGCTAAATTATTTTCAAGTGAAAAAGAAGAATAGGATCCATGTTGAAAGAAAAATTAGAGGTAGACATTTTGATGTGAAAAAGATAAGAAAGATGAAAGACAAATTGACGACAAATATTTGTGAAGTGAAGAAGAAGGAAGTTGAAAAAAATTGAAAGTAGACATTTTGAAGTGAAGAAAAAGAAAGACAAGAAGGAAAATGAAAGACAAATTGAATGTAGATATTTTGATGTGAAGAATTAGTAGAAGAAGAAGAAAGTTGAAAGACAAAATGTAGATATTTTGAAATGGAGAAAAAGAAGGAAGATGAAGCAGAAATTGAAGAGAAATATACTGAAGTGAAGACGAAGAAGAAGAAGAAAGTTGGGAGAAAAATAGATATTTTGAAGTGGAACAGAAAAAGATGAAACAAAAACTGAAGTTAGATAATTTGAAGTGAAGAAGAAGCAGGAGAATAAGAAAGAGGAGAAGGAAAGACAATTTCAAGACAGATATTTTGAAGTGAAGAAGAAGAAGAAGAAGAAAGTGGGGAAGAGGAAGAAGAAGAGGAAGAAAAGAAAAATGAGAAAGAAGAGGAAGAAGAAGAAAAGAACAGGAGGAAGAGGGAGAAGAAGAAAAAAGAAGAAAAGGAAGATGAACAAAACGAAGAAGAAGAAGAAGAAGAAGAGGAGGAAAAAGAACAAGAGTAAGAATAAGAAAGAGGAAGAAGAGGAAGAGGAAAAGAATAGGAAGATGAAGAAAATGAAAAAGAAGAAGAAGAGGGACAGGAGGAAGAGGAAGAAGAAGAGGAAGATGAATAAGACAAAGAAAAGAAAAAGAAAAGGAAGAACAACAACAATACGAAGAACAAAGAGAAGAAGAAGAAGAAGAAGAAGAATAAGAAAAAGAAGAAGAAGAAGAAGAAGAAATGGAATAATGGGAGGAAAGTCACAGATAAAAAAAAAGTAAGATCGAGAAAGAAAGAGTAAAACAAAGTCGCAAGCCTGTCGCTGCTCTGTCG